ATTTATGATCTGCTCAAAGGGAGGATGCAGTAGCTGGTCTGCTTAGCAAACAATGAGAACCTGTTTCGAGAACAATTTCTGCACTTGTTGGGGCTTCATTTACACGCTTAATTTGGGGACCCTCAAACTGCAACTTCTCTGCCATCACAAATCATTTTAAAACTTCAAATAATCAGAATCGCCTTTTTTAGTAAGACAGCTTTACCTTTTCTTAAGGAATGTTATAGATATAACAAGGGACAAAGCTTCTTTCAAGCATGAAATTTATGTTAACGCCAACAAATGCAGAAGGTCATCGTAGTTGCCAAATAATCACAAAGAACCCCGAAGGAACGATTCCCTGTGGTGTCACGATGTGCCGCTAAAAATGGCGTTTGTATGCTTAACACAATACACCCCGATCACATCTTTCAAAAATGATCTTTCACCTTCAGGTGCGGAAACTCATACGGAGCCGGATTATGCTCCAGGAAACTATAAAAATGACAATTCAGCCACATGTGAGGTAAGAGTAACCGAGAAATTGGACTACATTTTCAACGTCATTACTCATATTTAAGTGTGAACAACGTTCATACAACCATCCACCCGCCAAGTCAATTACTGGTTCGGTACCCGTGCGGTACAGAATTGGTCTTCCGAATACACTTACATACGTGCGTAATTTCAAACCATGAGCAGTTGATAGTCCACACCAGTTTTGCTGGACTAGAGCAGAGACGATATTCTGGTACGCTCAATGGCTTGTCAAGCTTCTAGTGACTGATTTTTGGGTCCAGCGGTAAGAGTATCCGGTACAAGCTATGTTCATTACTGGGACACAAACACTTTCCATTTAAACGTGATAGCATTCCACCAATGACCATTGTCGAATGCGCACCATTGTTGCCGCAGTTACATGGTGCCAATTCTAACGTCTGCTAGCATTCTTCTTCATTTCAAATGGGGTCACAGTCGTTTAATACAACTTATAATAGTCGGTAAGGTAAAGCGGTAATATGATTTTTTGTGGAGATATACCTCACAGTATATTGCTGCCTATTTAAATCCACAACAATGAATTTGCACGATTCATACAAGCAATATGAACTAATTATGAGTGTTTACTATGGCTTGCAGAATCACAAATAAAAAGTCAAATAAAAGTCATTCAGTAGGATTTGGATGTCGCTTATCTAAAACGAAAGTTAGCGATAAGAGGATTATTTTCTGACAACATGACATTTATGAGTTAGCGATGCCTACTTGTAAATGCCAAAAAACCGCGTTAAAGTTAGCGCTTAAGATAACTGGGAAACCATCACTGAAACACAAATTACCACATGAGCATGTCTCTCCTGTTACTACAAGACTTGAATGTGCATGCTGTTGTTGATGTCGTTGATGAAGCCAGTAATTTCGAGCATTTCTGGTATGCTAGGCTTGGGTTGGGAAGCCTCACACACCTATTTTCTTGCACAAATAAAGTTAGCTAACAGATTTTATTTCAACTCATCGTTTTTCATTTCAATAATCATCTGGCGGCTTGTGTGGGTAGCAGACACACTGTTTAAAAGCAGCATCCACAATCTTTCTATGTTAGGACACTGTTCCAATTTCTGCATACTTAAAAGTTAGCAAAAAAATATGAAATAAAACTTCACGCCACCGGATTAACAAACCCAAGATGATAAACGTTGTGGCACATTAGCAATGGTAAGAGGGTTGATGATGAGAGTTGTTTGAGTAAACATGGTCAAACTGGTGTGAGAGTGTCCTAAAGGATGTTAGAATGAACGATGTATTCAGCAATGATTTTATAATTGAGAATCGTCTGCATTATATCTAATATTCTGCAGCGGAATTTTAGCGTAAGCATGAGCACCTATCCTTTCCACCGAAAATTCCTTTCGAACAATAAATGGCAAATCTCAATGGAATTATGACAAGAATGAAAGCAATGTAACTGTTACGCAAGTTCGCAAATGGCTTCGTTGAAAGGGCTGGAACATTGGGATTGAATGCAGGCCTCTTCGTCTGGTTGCCTGCTTTTAGACATAGGGAGGGATGTCGAAGGCAGCATATTGCAAAGAGCCCCCACGTATAATACGTGAGCAGGTTGTTCAAACGTAGCTAAGTTACGAGGCCATTGATTTCTAGAGCAGGGATAAGCTTGATCGAGAAGGCGTAATAGCTTTATCTGCATGTTTCTTATGCTTGTACTTGAATATTTTCATTTAACTGCTTTAGGCTATTGAGAGCAATGAAAAAGCTTCACTGTACCGCATGATTCCAAATACACAGATGCCTGGGAAGATAGTATTCGTGGATAACAACTTCGAGAAGCAAAATATTACTGAAGGCCCCGTTTCAGAAGCGCTAGCTCTCAGTCCGATAGGTGAGCATGCATTTTACAAACAAGCGTCATGAAGTGTACCATTCCGTAGTAAAATCATATAACAAAGAAGGCAACCTCATCTGAGCCATTAGCTTATTTTTCAGAAGAGTTCGGAAATGTGTTTAGATGCGAGAATACTGGCTTCCATGTATGCTGAACACCCACATAGGGCCATTCACTTTATAGCCTACTTGTACTGATTTAAGGTAGTGGCAAACGTGCTGCCACCTCAATGCAAAACTACAATCTACGTAGAGGACTCAGTGCAAGCGCAGCAGTATTGACGAATTTGGAGTCAGTATACATTACTGGTCCGGGTGGACCTGAGGACCCATTGGGTGCGGCCGAATACCCGGAAGTTGTCACTCGTTCGGCATTCAACTACCCTCATACCGTATCGCGAGATGGTCTGCAAGGTACAGAATTTTCGCCCGCAGTATTTAGAACACTTATGGGAACAAAAGGCACCGCCCAGGCTGTCAACATCGGCCAACATGGCGAATACGATGCTGCAACCTTTCAACGCCGCTGTACAAGCTTAAAACCGACATCTGGAATTGTGACTACTGCCAATCCCTATCATTACATTCATCCTCCTTATGTTTACACGCCCATAGTTGGTAGTCCCTCTTCTCAGGTGGTTCAGTGCAGAGGGATTTCAGAGCCAAATAACACCGACACTTCGCCTTACTCTCCGCATAGTGTCCAACATAGACAGCCATATATCTTTGCTAACGAGCGCCATACTTACCATGATCTCGACATCCTTGCGGCCACGCTACAACGCCAGCGCAGACCACCAGAAAAATTTGTGGAAATTGCTCCACCAGGTGTTTCTAGCCCTTCGTACGGTAGACTGCGACAACCGATCAGCAGCTACGCTATAGCTTCTCCAAATAAGCGTTATGTGGCTATAAATACTCGAATGGCCCCCGATGGTGAAGTGACCTCACTTATGGAGCCAATGACCACCATTAAGAGAGTGAGAATACCCATCGCTCCAACAGTGCAGATAGATTCAACAGGTGAAGGAGAGGGCGGCAGAACCTCGGATGAGGGCGCCAGTGAGGCCTTCGACCAACAAAGCAGTCCAAACTCCCTTAGCGAGGCCTTTACTGAGGCAGAGTTCGAAGGTGGCTTGGTTGGAGAAGAAGAGGAGCCAGAATCAATTACTGATCCAAATGCCAAGTTGATCATATATGAAGGCGAGCAAACTCTGACTTTAAAGAAGATGAGAGCAGAAGGGAAGCAGTTGCAAACACCTCCACATCACCAGCCGGAATCCGAAAGTCAGGCAACAGAAGAAATAGTGGTCAGTTCTGAACCGGGATTCCCACCGTCTACCACTGAAAGCGTTCAACAACCACTGCCATCACAAATGCCGTTGACTTACACAGTGCACGAAGCAAGTTTTGTTTAAAACTCAAAGAGACCTCCTGGGTGCTTCAATGACTTACGTTTAATCAATTCTCTGTAACACCATCAACTCTTACCTTTGCCTTTTCTATTTTTAATTGACTACCTCTGTTACCTTTGGAAAAGCATTCATAACATTGGGAGCACAGATACCGCGAACTGTTGTTGTACTGATACAGCAACCATATCATGGAAAGGTGGCGATGACTTAAATACCAGCAAGCAATTTCTTGCATTGAATTTGCAAAATACGAATCCGCTAACCTTCTAGGAAATATGTAGATTGTAGAGCAGCCGAAAAACTGTTCAGATTTAAGCGGCTAATGGAGTTGTTGGATAATGTTGAGCTGTTGCAGATGGAAAGAAAAACATAACTAAACATAACTAAACAATTGTATACGCAATTGCATAGATCTATCAAATAGAGGACCTGCACAACAATTATTGAGGAGGAGGCAAAATGAAGTTTTATAGGTATCATTCAAAGAAGAAGAGAAATTATGAAGACTACTGCTGCCTAGTTTACTCAGCAATGCTGTTATTTTTTCTGCCCCTTAA